GCAGGTGACCCCAGATGGTCTAGTGAGAGTCAATCCTGGGACTTTTGATGGAACTGTTGTAAAGGCAGCACTATCTTTTCCCCAGTATTAGTAACCTGATAAGCAGAGATGGTGATGGCCATCTTTGATAGAACATGGAGAGACTGTCCAGGGAATGAGAGGGATAGACATACACAGAGAGAGAACTGCAGAAATAGAGAGATAGCTTTCTGATCCCAGCCTGGCCTTCTGGGCTTTGCAAGAGTTACTAAATACCCCTTTTGCTTAAATAGTTTTTAGCTAAGATTCTGTTATCTGCAACTGAATAATGCCTGACTGGCATGGGTGGTGCTTCTAATGTAATATTGAGCAGCAGGATTTACCTGCCTCCAGATGGCATGAATAGAGGCTTCGAAGTGAGAAAAAGAGGTGTAATCTCAGACAGCAGAGAGTGGCACGGAAGAGGGAAAGAACTTACGATGTGCCAAGCACTGTGCTACATTTAATTTCATAGTCCTATCAGAAAGTTGGTGTTTTTATCATGTCTATTTTTTGGAGGCGGAGACTATAGAATAAGTAGATTAAGGGCTTGCCTGAGGTCACACAATGGATGGCAGGGCTGAGGTTTATAACCAGACCTTTGGTCTCCTGAGCTTTTGACTGTTGAACTATAGTTCTATGGGGTGTTTTCCCCGTAATTTCCTCCCCAGCTTACCACATAGTTGCAGTGGCGTTGTGATGTTGTTCGAGGACTCCTGGACTCCAGTGCCTGCTTAAGGGAGCTGGAGGAGATGAGTACATGGCAGAGATCTGAGTAGACAAGTGATGGGCTATAAGAGTAGCCCAGGAGATAATTATCCTCCATGCCCCACCTCACACAAACTGAGAAGGACAGGCTTATCCCAAGAAAACTAATTTTTTAAATAGACACAATTTTTTTTTGCAACTTTAACAGAATTGTGATCTATACATGCAGTGCTAAACTGTCAAATCATTTAGCAATAAATTTTGGAATGAGAATACTACATATAACCACATCAACATTTCATGAAGCACATTGCAATTTATTAGTTATCAGTGAGATGAGTTTCAGCATGTCTGTTTGTGATAGTCAAATACATCATTTTAATATTTCCTTTTGCAGGCAATATATATGAACCCACAGGATGTTCAGCCTGCCTCCAAGAAATTCTATTATTTCTCTTTTCCTTTTATTTTCCTTTCTCTCTTCCTTTACTATGCTTACCCCTTCATATGCTCCTTCCAGTGGCCTGTAAAGGAGAGCTCCATGAAGGGTGGGCTGGGTACTGCCCATCAGCGCTCCTATCGCTATGGTCCCTGGCACATAACAGATGCTCCATCAAGTCTGTGAGGAGAAAGCATTATAAAATAATTCAGTTCATTTCATCATAAATAATAAAGTGTAGATTAAGTCATTTAAAAATTGCAATTATTAACATTAACATACATCTTGACAATTGCATAATTTCTAAGTGCACAGCATGATAAATTATCACAAACCCAGCCATGTGATGACCATTCAGATCAAGAAATAAGCTATTACTAGCTTGCTAGTAGTTGTTCCTTTTGTTTCCCCCAGGTAAGTACTATTTTGGCTTCTATTTCCTTAATGAACTTTGCTTGTTTGTGAACCTGTGTACATGGAGCCATACAGTATAGTCTATTTTATATCCAGCTTTTTAAAAAGTCAACATCACTTTTTGCAACTTACCTGTATAATTTTTTAAATTTCAGAATATTAGGGTATACACACATTTTGTTTATGTATTTTTGGGGGGGAGTACAGATGAAACCAAAGTTATGTGTAGGCATGAAGGGGATACTTACATGTATAACTTTGAGTCAATCAAAGAATTTTTAAAAATTATATTGCAGGGATAACTATTGAAGAAATTTCTCACTGGCAGGAGTGGAGGGAATGGTTGGGTTGATGCTCGGATGGGCAGATGTCAAGGTAGAAGCTCAGCATGAATTCACCTGTCTCTAGGGAATTTCTGTCATGTTTCCCCCAGTTACCTGGATCTTGGATATAAAACCTACTGAAGCATCAGCTTCCATGACCCACAGAGCGTAACTTGTCACTTGTCATAGATAACTGCTCTTGGATGGCCCAAGATCCACCAAACTTGAACCATTCAGTATGGCCACTGCCTGTTGTTCCCTGTTATGTTGTTAAGGCATAGACTGCCAACTTCCAAAAATACCTCCTGACTCCATCCAGAGTGGCATCTGCACACAAATGCAATGCCCAGAGAGTGCCAGGCCAAAATCATTTGTGTAGAGTTCAACTGGAGCATTAAGTGCAAGTGGAATTGAACAGAGGGAGGAGCAATCACATTTCTGTAGGGATGTGAAAAATCACAGTTATTGGATAAGTTGGGGAAGGAACAAAATTACATAGATATGAAGACAACTCTTTGCCTAGCAAGGGTCCTCAAACTTCTTAAATTGGGAACCAGTTCACTGCCCCTCAGACCCTTGGAGGGCCAGACTGCGGGCCCTGGGAAGAGTTGACTGCTAAGCAGGACAGGCAGCGGTGGCAAAAATACCCAGCGGGCCAGATAAATATCCTAGGCTGGCTGCATGTGGCCTGTGGGCCATAGTTTGAGGACGCCTGGAGAGTGGCTGAAAAACACAGACCTCACAGATGGGATTGGGTTATGTTGGACGTAGAGTGATGTTAATGATGATGAGAGAGAAGGCAGGAGAGAGGGCGGGGCCCACTTGCAAAAATTTAGTTGTTGCCTGTTCTGTGGAACTACTTGGCAACAACACCTTTGAAACCAAAGCATTGGTGTGAAGAGCCAATATGGTCCATTCTCTGAGTCTGGAACCATTTCTAAAGGAGTTAAATAAAAATGTAGCAATTAATTGAGACACAATGTATAAAAAATAGTGTATCCCAGATGGCAGGTGTCATATCCACAATCCTAGTGGAAAGTGTTATTTATCGAGCATTGACCTTGTGTGAGCACAGCCCTTTCATTATCTTATTTAATTCTTACAATCACCAGCTGAAGCAGGCTCTTTTATTATCTCCGTTTGACATATCAGGAAGATTGTAGTTTAAAAGGCTTAACTAGTAAGTGGGAAAGGTCAGAATGTAGACCTATGCTATCTGAATCCAAAAATTTGTGTTCCTGACCCTTATTCTGTACTACTAGCTAAAATTAAAAATACTGAAGTGATCCAAGGAAATTGTAATTTAGATTGGATAAATTGAATAGCAGAGTTTGTCTGTTCCCCAGAGGTATGATGTTGTGGGTTTAGGAATATGTATTATACACTCTTTCTATTGAAATGACAGATTCCCAAAATAAAGCAGGTGTAAACAAAAAGGGAATACTTTGCTATGGTCAGCTGAATAAAGGTGCCCCCACATTGTCCTGATCCTAATCTCTGGAACCCTTGAATATGATACCTACAAAAGGGACTTTGCACATGCGATTAAATTAAGGATTTTGGGATGAGGCAGTTATCCTGGGTTATCTGGGTGGACCCAATATAATCATAAGGGTCTTTTTAAAAGAAAGAGGGAGGGGCCAGGTGGTGGACAGAGACATCTACGCACCACCCATCTCGGTGAGGTAGAGGAGAGAGAGGAGTCCAGCCACCTCTGGCTGGAGTGCCCTGCTCAGAAACATCGTTGCAGGGGCACAGAGAGGCAGTGGAGGACTCCAGGAGCCATGGAGGAGGTCAGGATCTGTGAAAGACCAGCAAGAAGGCAGATGCCTGGGCCACTCCAACACCTAAGCACAGAGACAAGAAAATTTAAAGAGAAGGTAAAAGTGAGAGGAAAAAGGAGGAGAAGGAAATGAACAAGAGAACACGCAGAAGGAACCAACCAAGAGAAATCTGGCAACGTGAAAAACCAGAACAGATGAGCTCCCCCGAGTATCATGAGGCAGCTACTGCAGAGGATCCCACCTATAAAGAAATTATGGAAATGACATGGAATTTAGAGTATGGATGGCCAAAAAAAAAAAGATGGAGATTTAAGTACAGAGGCAGGAGATATGAGAATAGAAAAAAGAGATTGGAGTAATGTGAGAAAGGGACCCAGCTGAGTAAAGCAGGTGGCCTCAGGAAGCTGGAAAGGGCCAGGGAATGGATCTTCCCTTAGCACAGGGGTATTCAACCTGCGGCCCATAGGCCATATGCTGATTTTGTGAGGATGTTTTTTGTTTATCTGTGGTGTTGATATCATGAAAAATATGCACGGACCTTTTTGGTTAAGCAGCTTTCATTAGTGTTTGTGTTTAATGTGAGGCCCAAGACAATGCTTATTCTTCCCATGTGTGGGAGAGAAGAAAAACTAAGGTTGGACACTGTGCGGAGCCTTCAGAAGGCACAGAGCTCTGCCAACACCTTGATTTTAGACTTCTGGCCTGCAGAACTGTAAGCGAATAAATCTATGTTGTAGCTATCAAGTTTGTGATAATTTGTTACAGCAACAACAGAAGCTAACAAACCCTGGTACCCACAGTGTCCAGGGCAGCCTTGGCTTCATTCCAGCTTAGCTGGTCCAGGTGTTCTAATGGGGTGGTCTTGGGGCTATCCCTCTTGGCACCTTACCTCTCCTTTCTCCTGCAATGGCCTTGTTCACTGGTGGACTTTCTTTGGGTGGTGTCAAGCTGGCGATCAGTGGCTATAGGATTTTCTGTTGGCCACTTCAGCAATCCTGGTGGAACAGACAATATTCTTTTCCTAATAATACCTACAAGGATCCCAGGCCTGGTTTGCATGGGCCTGGCTTGCACCTGGCTTGCGTTGGCCATGCCTGGGGCATCAGTCATGTCTCAAGCTGGGAAGGGGATAACTTCTGAACCTCAGTGACTCCTGGGGTGGAGGGATGCTTCCCAAAGGAAAGTCCAGCTGAGTGGGCAAAACTAACAGGTGCCTGTGACAAGATGTGAGGCTGAGAACTATGGCATAGATTCTTGCTGGTTCTAAGGAAAGCCAGAGAGACAGGAATGGAGGTTTCTATTTCTACCACCCTTACTCTTTTGTGGTTCATAAGTGTGATGATTGGGTTTTCACGCTCATGTGTGCAGTGTGCCTGCCTCAAACCTTGTTATGATGTAGGCACATTATCTGTCTGATGCAAAGAAAAGGAAAAAAATCCCAAATTCAAAAAACAAAGCCTGCAAAGGAAATCAATGAGAGGAGCAGTGAGTGGGGTGAATCCAAGGTCTTGCTGCGATCCAGGGGAGGACAGGTAAGAAAGGGACAGGAAGGGAGGATCACTTGCTTGTTGGGTGGAGAACGAAGAGGACGTGAGAGTGATCCCTTTGGAAACACATAAACTGATGACACTTCCTTACTCTGAGCTCCTGCCTGGGTGGGCCTGGCTGCTGAATAGGGATTGTGCAGGACAGTCTTTGTACCCAGTCTAAGCGTCTGCATTGTTCCTCTCTGCACAACCCTGGCAGAGAGCTTTGGCCTCTGGAACACCCTTAGATTGAAGCTGTGATAGGGTAATGCTCACCTTGTGGGTCGCCAGCTTTCATGCTTAGAGTTGTCTGCAAAAGGAAGCAAAGAGGCAAATGGCATTGTGACATAGTGGCAGGTAGACTCTGCAGCCAGTCCTTGCAGGGTGCTATTCAGACTGCGTTTTCTGTTTTTCCATCCATGATTTGGGGAAGGGTATCTCTCTTTCTTGATGCTTCTAACTGGACAGGACTGATACTTCAGCCCCTGGTTCTAAAACAAAGGTGACTTTTTGTGACCCTTTAAAAATATCGGTGAGACCATGCCATACTTTGCCTCAGAGCTTCCTGGTGGCCCTTCTGCTCACTCAAGGCCGAGCAAGACTCACGTGATCTTACATTGAGGTGCCCCCATTGACTCTCTGATCACAGCTGCTCTTACCTCCAGGCACTCCACAACAGCCAGCCTGGCCTGCTCATTTATTTTCTTTATTATCTGTGAGGTCACGAATTTTTGTATGTTCTGCTGTACTCAATATCTGTAGACACCTATACGTATAGTAGGTGCCCAGTAAGTATTGGTTGAATTGAGTAGATGGGTTAACTTATGCACATGTTCATTTCCCCAACATTTACTAAGCATGTACAAAGCACTGGCTAGAGAACTAGGTTCCATAGACAGCAAGACAAGCTCTGCATGGCCTCTAGTCCCAATGAGGAGACCATGGTGCAGACCAATAATAGCAGTCACAGGTGGTAATTACTGCAAGGTGGTATTAGCTCAGTGTGCTAAGGGGCATGGGGAAGAGGGGTGCAGAGCTGAGATTTCTTCCTGCTTCTGCACATGATTCCACCTGGGAAACTAACACATAATTGCTACTCATTGCTTACTTCCCAGTGGAACGGCCTCTAGGTATACAAGCCACTTGTCTGAGCAAATGCATTCTAAATCCGATAGATTTCCATGCTTTCATGTTCAGTTCTAACTCCTGACTCACTTAATCCCCCAGTACTGGTGTAGGGAAACTGCTGTTTCCTTTTTTTGCTGAGGGAGATGGGAAACCAGAGAGCGCTGCAGCCTGTTGGGACTGAGTAAAAGGTGCAGAGGAGTGGACCAGGTGCTATCTCACCCCCATAAAGGTCATGCTGGGTGGCAGGGAGCTGGTGTGCTTCCTTCTCTGGACCTGGCACTGCTGGTGCCAGGCTTGCCCCATAGCTATTTGGACGGCCTCTTTTTTCTTATTATTCAAGCTTCGGCTTCATCTCCTTGGGAGAGTGGTAGTCTCTGACCACCCCATCTAAAATCGTTGGCTCCTCCATCATCCTTATTTTCTACATATCACTAACAATGATCTCAACACAGCACGTTTCCTGTTGTTTCTCTTGATAGAAGCTAAGTTCTATACGGACAAGGAGCCATTTGTGTCATGTTTGATGGTGTGTCCCCAGTACACAGAGCAGGTGCTCCATGAATGTTTGGTGAATGAACAGATAGCAAAGAAATTTGAGCACTTGAGCTACAGCATCATGGAATCTTGGAAATTATAGCGGTGGAAGGATCTGGGCTGTTTCTGTTTGTCTTTTTGTACCTGAGAAAGGTAAGGTCCAGGGAAGGAAGGAGCTCAAGTGTAGCCACTGGGAAGATGAATCCACACCATGGTCCCATCTGCTGCTCTTGCTGGAGAGAGCTGTAATCTCCTGGGTCACTCCTGAGCTGGGAGGTGATAAAGGTGTCCCTTGGGAGAGCTGCTTGGAGCCACAGCCTCCTGGCACAGGCTGCCAGTGATGCCCTTGCCTCGTGGCCCTGTGATACAACCATAGCTTGTCTGAGCTCCCCGTAATTTTCATGAGGAGAGAGCTTATGGGATGCCCCCCTCTCTTTTGTCTACCTTTGCCGTTCCGCTACCATACTTCAGCAGTATGAGCGCATTGCAATTTATTCATTCTGTGTTTAGAACATTTAGCTTATGCCAGTTTTTGTGAATAATATCACTAGGAATATTTTCATACATGTATTTTTGTGGGCTATTGATTTTAGCTGAGTATATAACCAGGTGTGGAATTGCTAACCTATTTTAGCTTTAATAAATACTACTGACATTTTTCCAAAGTGGGCATATTAATTTATATTCCTGTCTACAGCGAACGGGGGTTTCATTTCCTCTACATTTTCATCAATATTTGGTATCATTGGTCCTTTTAAATTTAGCTATTCTGGTGTGTCATTGTGCTTGTATTTCAAATTTCCCTGATGACTATGGAATTTTGTGTGTTTCTTATGTTCATTTAATACTGCAGTTTGAACAACTACACATTTCTTGCCTAGAGTGTGCACTGATAGTTTATATTCTGCCTTTGAACTCCTTATCCTTCTTCACAAAGCTTTCTCTATGTCCCTGCAGAGTGCAGTCACCACCATCCACGTGAGAATGAGTGGGTGAAAATCTCTCTCCCTTTCTCTGCACACAAGAGGTCACAAAATCCTGTGTATCCTGGTTCAGAAATATCTCCTGAATGTGTCTGCATTCTCCTCATTCTCATGTGACCACCTCAGTTCAGTTTTATCATCTCTTGTCCCTGCTAGCAAGACAATGTCACTCTTTATACTCCCTTAGCTGAAGACTCTTTCAGGAAATGTTTTCCCCTGTGACTAAGCATTCAACACAACTGGAAACACAACGTAAAAACAGTAGGGAGTCCTAAAGTTTTCAGAATGTTAAATGTCTTTCAAGACTTGCAAGAGTTCCTTATATGCATTATCTGTGAAGGAGGGACACTTGTCACCCCTCCCCCAGTTTCAGATGAGGAAACTACACCTTTGAGAGGCTAAAGAACCAGAGTGAAGAACCCACATGACGAGGCTGGAGTTCAAAGCCAGAGTTTGTCTTCAGAGCCGACTGCTTAATCACTCTATGATATTTGCCAATGGTGCTTAATTGAAAGTTACAAGCTCATATTTAATTAGCAGATTTTATTTTCCTACACAGTTGTGGTTTGGAGATTTATAGTTATGCAGCTGGGAATGAGGTGGATTTGACAGCTGCCATCCTGGCTGGGAAACTCTTTGCAGTTGGAAATGCAATGTCTCGAGGCCAGTAGTCCAGGTTTGGGCCTCTCCCTGGCCAACTAGTTTCCACAGAGGAAAACAATTAGTGAGAGCTGTGAACTGGGGGGAAAACAATTAGTAAGAGCTGTGAACTGGGGGGAATCAGGCCAAGCAGCATGGGTGGGTCCCTACAAACCATCTTTCCCACTATAGGTGATACCGTGCTGGGCTCTGGTGCTCTCTCCGGGTGAGGATGACAGTCTTGCTGGAGCCAGAACTCTTAAGGGCAGGCAAAGCACCAATGAGCATTGTTCCTCTCCTGCAGGTTCCACGTGGGCCTCGAGGCATTCAAAACAGCCACAGCTCCCAGTAGTGTCAAGGGAGCATTCCCTTAGCATCTGGCTTCTTACAGGGCTTTATAAAGGAGACAGGCATTTTATTCTCTTTATCTTAGACTTCAAGACCTACCCTCCTGGGGTACTAACTCACCAGGGCTTAAATGCACAAACAAAAGTTTGTTGGGCAATCACAATGCATCAGACATTGAGCTGAGTACTTTACTGCCACATACTTATTTAACATTCTCAGGAACCTTATGGGAGAGCTACTTTCGTTATACAGCAGTTCAGTAGTCCCTCTTTATCCATGGGGAACACATTCCAAAGTGCTTAGTACCTGAAGCTGCGGATGGTGCTGAACCCTATGTATGTACTTTATTTTCCTTTCCACACAGACCTATGGTAAAGTTAAATTTATAAATTAAGCACAGTAAGAGATTAACAATAAATAATGGTAAAATAGAACAATTATAACAATATAATGAAAGATATGTAAATGTGGTATTTCCCTCTCAAAATCTATGTCCTGTGCACACCCTTCTTGTGGTCTATCAGTCTGGTTACTATGATGGCTATTAATGACCAATAGACAGATGGCATAGAACGTATGGATAAGCCAGACAAAGGGATGACCCATGTCCTAGGCAGCATGGAGTTGGATGGCATGACATTCCATCATGCTACTCAGAACAACTTATTTAAAACTTATAAATCATTTCTGGGAATGTTCATTTAATATGTTTGGACATGGTTTTACGTAGGGTAGCCGAAACCTTGGAAAGTGAAACCAGGGATGAGGAGATTCTGCTAGACTTGGGGATGTCTAAGACCTGGAGAGGTTATTTCCTAGGCCAGTGCTTCTCAAATGTTAACGAGTTTGTGAATCACCTGGGGACCCCACGGAATGCAGATTCTGACCTTGCAGAGCTCCAGTACAGACTGAGATTTTGCATTTCTAATAAGCTCCCAGGCACTGCAGGTGTTGCTGGCTGGGAGATGATGGTGGTCACAAGGCTCAGGTCCTGGAGCTGGAAGTGATGCAGCTGAGATTCTCTGACAGGCAGCAGGGCCCAGGGCTTTCCCTCCATCACTGCTGTGCTGTACTCTTCCCCCATTATAGCTCTGACAACTCCCTTTAGCTCACTGTCACAGGTTGGACACAACATAATTGTCCTTGCTACCTTCCATCAAGACCTGCAAATGCTCAGCTGTACTGTCTGTGGTTTAGGCTGGCCAGCCTCCTGTCATTGCACTCACCTCCCTCCTGTTCTTCCATGACACATTCCAAGTC